TCTGCTGATCATAATAATTTAAAAATGCTATAAACAAAACTTTCTAATTAGTATATATTAAATTGTAAACAAATATGTCCATTAACAAATCTGTAAAAGAAATTTGTAAATGTAAAACTTGCTTAATAATTAATTCACAAGGCCGAAAGCTTAGTAAAAGAGTTAAACAACAACATAACAAAGCTGAAAAATGTATATATGATCAGAATGGTGTTATTATTAGAAAAACATATTCTAAAAAAAGAAAGATATACAATTCAGATAATCAAGATAAATCAATATATAATCAATACAACGAATTTAAAAATTTTGAACAAGATAATAAAGAGTTAGAAGTAGAATATTATAAAGATTTAGATCAATATAATGACTTAGAACAATTTAATGAATTTGAACAATATGAAATAACAAATAATAATTTTCAAAATGATCAATATAATAAATTAATTCACAAAATTAAAGCTAAATTTATATTTTAATTTAAATTTAATTATTATAATATTAATTAATTAATTATTTATTTAGAATCACTGAATATACTTAATGCATTAAAATTATTACATTTAAAATCAAAAAATTCTCATATTTCAGATAAAAATTTTGAAGAAATATTGAAAATTTTTGATTGTCATAGTTCAACATTATATTCAACAAAAAATATTCTTCAAAACTTAGTTAATATTAATATACAATATATAGATATGTGTGTTAATTCATATATAGCTTATACTGATGAATATATAGAAGCAACACAATGTCCAATATGTTTAGCTACTCAATTTAATAAAAATAGAATTGTACAAAAATCAGCTGCTTATTATCCAATTATTCCTCGATTAAAGCTACAATATGCTGATTCTGAAAGATCAAAGCTCCTTAGATATCGCTCTAATTATGTATTAAATACTAATACATATTGTGATATTTTTGATGGACATTTATATAAAAGACTATTACATAATGGAATGATTAAAGATGAGCGAGATTTAATCTTTTCAGCAAGCTTAGATGGGTATCAAATTTTTCAACAACATAGAGATGATAATTGGGTAATCATATTTATCAACAATAATATTCCACCAGAAGATAGAGTAAAACAAGAAAATCTTTTAATTGCGGCAATTATACCTGGTCCAAATAGCCCTAAAAACTTTAATAGTTTTATATAGCCAATAATTAATGAACTAAAAGAACTTGAAGGTATTATATATATTTATATATTTATTTATAAAATTTACTATTTTATATCTAGATTAAAATACTCGGTATAATATTTATATAGTGTTTTATATATATTAAAGTTTAAGATAAATCTAAAATATATAAAATTATATATAATTAAATGCTAAACAATTTTACTTAAGATATTTATATATAGTTATCAAAAATTTAAGATATTAATAATTTTTGATTTTTTTACTTATACCAGGCATTATATTTACTAGATGCAAATAGTACATTTCTTTATTTATATTATATTAAATAAATTAATTTATAAAATTTTAAATTTAGATGGCATAATTTGTTGGGATGGTTGGAAAAAAGAAAGTTTTATATTACGTGCTTTTGTTCCAGTTTGGTATGGTGATATTCCAGCAATTAGTAAGCTAATATGTGTAATGGGACATAATAGATATATGGGCTGTAGATTTTGTGATTTAAAAGGGGTAGTAGATTTAAAATCAGGCATTAATCATGTATATTATCCTTTAAAATATACAACAACCAATGGTAAAAAGTTATATAATATTAAGAAACTTCCATTACGAGATCACAAATCATATTTAGATAAAGTATCAATATGGAAAGCTGCATCTAATAAAAAAAAAGCACAAAAAGATACTGGTATGTTTATTAATTATATATATTATAATTATATTATATAATAAAAATTTAAATTATTAAATACTATAATAGTAATATATTTAAATTTTAAAAAACTACTCAAATTTAAATTAATTTATACTATAGGTATAACAGGCGAAAGTATTCTTTTTGAATTAGGAGCAATACAATTTCCTGCTTCTTTTCCTTTAGACATAATGCATCTTATATTTGAAGGCGCTGCTATGCAAATGTATAAACATTGGTCAGGAACATTTTATTCAAATAAATCATTAAATGATTTTGAAAGTAATCCACAAACATTATCTAAAATTACTTGGAAAAATATTGGACATATAATGGAAGTAAATAAGAAATCAATGCCATCTGAGTTTGGCCGACCTCCACTAAATATTGTTCAGCATTCTAATGCATTTAAAGCTGAAGATTGGGTAAATTGGACTTGCTTATATTCATTACCATTATTACAGTATTTTCATAATAAAAGGTATTTTTTAATTAGTTTTATTAAATAAATATATTTATAAAAAACTTATTTTTATTTTATAGTTTTGTAGACAATTGGTATTTCTTTGTAGAAGCTGCTCAAATTGCTATAAAAAAAACAATTACTTATGAAGAATTATATTGCTTAGATGATAACTTTCAAAAATTTTTTAAAACATATACAAGGTATTATAATATTTATGTTTTATTTATTTATTTAAATACAATAATATATTAATAAATGCTTAATTATTTTAGTTTATATATTGGCAATGATATAAAA